AATTAGGTTCATGCATGCGACGACGCACTACCCACTGAGCATATGTTTGGGATGGTATGGTATGATAGTAAGGATTTGAGCTCCCCACGCACTGGAGCTTCCTGGTTTATTGTACCTTCCTAGTTCTTTAGTTCAGTGAGATAGACTAAATCCTTCTCCCTAGAAGTATCAAGTCATTGACTGCCGCTGCTATAATTTCATAAGGTTTTTCCGTACGTTGGGTTAAATCTCCATTGAGCTGTTGCTTCGCATTTGAAAATGATATGGGTTACTGTTTCCTTTTCCTCATTACACATTCTGCAGCTGGGATCATCGTTGTATATGCTCGTGTTGCGTAGAGGTTTTCTCAGATGCCAGTGACCAGTTAACATAATCACTCCTATGAGTCTAGCCCTCGCCAATTGCAGAAGTGAGTTTTCCAGTCTTGGTGAGGGTTGTTTCATAAGTTTACTATGTCTAGCGCTGCTAGGGTTTATCACTTCTCTTTTTGTTTTGTCTGGATCCATTCTGCTATGGATAATTCTATATTTCTTTTGGTTATCCCAAATATAGGACCAGGGCCTGTATGGTCTTGCAGATCCTCCTCTAGCCAGTTCTTCTCTAGCAAGATATCATCAGGTTGTTGCGTTTCCCCAGGTTTTGGAGATTGTGGAAGCACTCGCTGACTAATTTTGATGAGATCTTTTTACATCCTAACGCTTTTATAGCTACTTGGCTATCCGATCTTAAGAGGATTTTTTTGCAGTGTAACCTCTTTTCAGATTTTCTAGGGCACAAACGTCGATGGTATATATTTCTGCTTGAAAGATGGAAGTGTACTTCCATAATGAATTTGATTGTTCATATCTTGTACAAAACACACCCAATCCGTTTCCTTCGTTTGTTTTGGAGTCATCTATATACGTGTTTTGCTCTCCTGAGTTCTTCCTTTCCTTTATGGTCCGTTGAGACTAAACATGCTGTATGACAATATGAGGCTGGGCATTCACCTCCAGCAAAAGCATCCAATTTCTAATCCTTCCAGTTCTAAGCCGTCCATTGGTGTGCAAACATTTTTTGGTTATTGGCCTATGAGCCATAGCCATATCCTATCCATGACCTCAACGTCCCTTAAATGTTCCACGCCATCCCGATATAAAAAATGACACTTCTATTGTAACTCACTGGTCATTCCATTCCCTTAGTATGCTTACATTGGAGTATACAGCATAATGTCTTTGATAATAAAGCCTAAGTCCAATATTTTACCATATTCGTTATAATCATAGATATGTTATTATTATGCTTAAAATAAAATTCGTAAAATTTTAAAAACAATTAAAATATAAAAGATAAAATATTTATGATATTAATATGCTTTAATTGTCAAATTTTATTACACTAGTATAAATTTTAAATTGGTAATAATTTCGAGTTTTAAGTTTAATAGCAAGCCACTAATGTTTAATTTTAGAATGCGTAACGTAATTTTAAATGATTTATTATTTTGAATTTAACAGTGGACTAAAGTTCAGAACTAATAAAAAGTCATTAATGTTTCATTTTTGCATACTTAAAATGGTTTCTAACTTTGAACGTAAAATATTTCATGGGTATTAATAAAGGAACTTTCATGAATTTTTTGTACCATTAACTTCTTGTTATAAAACGTTTATACTTTTGCATGTACCAATGGAGGTACCTTCCTGGGCACTTAATGATTTAAGTTTATAAAAACTAAATTTTTATGATCTTTATGAATAATAATAAAACAATTAATATTTGATTTACTGTCCTTAACATGAACCATTAAAAGTTCATGTTTCAAATACAAAACAAACGCCTCATACGCCCATCACTACTACAGCCAATCTGGTTGTAAGCAATTGAAATGTTAGATACAACTGAGCGTTTCATCCTTCAAACGTGTTGAACTTTGAAGATGGAAGGTGTTCCGCAAGGCAGCATTCATGGCCCTATTCTCTTTTCACTGCTTTCCTATCAAACCCAATGCAATACTTCTCACATATGAAAGCACAGATCCAGTAGTAGCTCCTAAAACCATCTGTCCCGTTTCGAAGAATGGTTCAAAAAATGGACACAACGAAACCTAGCAAATAACTTTCCAGCTTAGATATCTCCTACTGTCTACTAAAACCCTATTTCTTTCCCAGCAATAGTGTCGTCCGTTATTTCGGGCTAGGCAACACAACTGCACCAAACATTCAATTGTACTTTGGAGTTGAACCCTGTGTTCCAGGGTCCTAACCAGTTAGTCCAGTCCAACATGCCATGTTTTACTATATGGTATAATACAAGTCTATACCACACAGAACTCCAAGTCCCACTTATCCTCGAAACAGCAAGGTCTAGGTCGCCCTGTAATCTTTGGTACTTCTTAGGGGTGCTTACTCTACAGAAATCATCAAGGTGGGGTAAGCAGGTAGATTAGCTTTTTGTAAATTTAGAAGTTCTCAAATGTGTGAGAAGAACCATCATTTACAAAAAGGGCTATACTCTGTCTTTGCTCAAGTATATTTTTTGGTGGGTGTTAATTGTTTGATTTACCTTAGTGCAATTTTGCTATTGAAGACAACATCAGTGTATTATGATGGATTATTTTAATGGCTAGGGTCGAAGTCGTGCGGCATTGGAGTGCTGTTATCTGCTTGAGTATATTTAAAGTTAGGACGTAATCAATATCATTGTTGGATGGACAATTATTTGATGATCTTAGATCGGGATGGTTCTATAGGCTGTGGTTCTTCTTAGGAGTGCTGTTATTTGCTGGAGTGTATTTTTCATAAGGACTTAGACCGTATCAATGCAGCATGAGCAATTATTCGAAGAGCTTGGATTGCGATGGTTCTATAGGCTTGGGTTCTTCTTAGGAGTGCTGTTATCCCCTTCAGTAAATTTCGATTAGGCGAAGTCAAAATCTATGTTGCTTAGCAATTATTCGTAGAGCTTGGATCGAAGTGCTTCTGTAGTTTATGGTTCTTTTAGGAGTGCTGTTGTCTGCTTCAGTATATTTTTAGTTTGGACGTAAACAATATCAATGTTACAAGTGCAATTATTCGAAGAGCTTGGACCGCGTTGGTTCTATAGGCCTAGGTTCTTCTTAGGGGTGCTGTTATCTGCTTCTGTATATTTTTGGTTCGGACGTAGACAATATCAATAGTACATGAGCAATTGGGTGGTATAATGCTGTTAAGGCTCGAGGCCCTGAAAAGTGGCACCTCGTGTCCTCATCCACGTCCCTCTCTCAATCCGTACCTTCACTCTTTCCTATGACCCCTCCCAACCCTTGGTTACAAGGGGGGTGTCCGGGCACAAAATAATAGTGCAGCCCTGAGGGCGTGGCAAACTCTCTAAAGCACAAGTTGTACTCGTGTCGGCCACGGGTAGGCATGTGCGGCGGGTGCCTCATCAGAGGCACAAAAGGGTTAGGGTACCAGATCCTGTCTGCATAGACGGGGGAGGGTGCATAACCATCTGTACTACGGTATAACAGAAATGTTCCGAAATTCAGCCCCTGTTACACTGGGAATGGATTTGTATGGTAAGTGGTGACGCCCCTGGCGGGAAATTAGAGAAGAGGCTGTCTTCTACCTGTGACCTTCGCACGAAACTTGCGTATAACCACCATTATACACCGGCCTCACGGGATACGGCGGATCGGATGCTGAAAAGCCCCCTCGAATGCGTGAGTAGTGGCGGATGGGAACGGGTAGTGAATCGGGTGCTCCTACTCGAGGAAGCTTTGCACGTAGGTGTAGGCGGTCTCCTCTAAGAGGTGGTTAGCAATTCCAATTTAAACAAAACCGCGGCCGGAGCGGATCCGGTAGTTTCTACGCTAGGGAAGCTCCACTACTCTGGGAGGTAGAAGTCGCCTTCTCTACCGAGGGAGGGCGCGGGAGAACAGGCTTATGTATTTCGACTTAGGTAGCCGTTTGTGCGCGGAGTACGGTTCGATGCTCAATGCAGACCCGACCACTCGGAATGGGCAAGCGGAGAGCGAGGTTGCCTTGGCCCCTGGGGGCTGAGCTGCCTCTACACCAATGCTGCGGCAGTAACACCCTTCTGTCATATGCGGAGGTGCGTCAGCTCTCAGCTTGAGAATCGAAACGTCCGATAAGGCCGAATAGGCTAGGTGCGGACGTTAAATATCCTCCTTTTTAGAAGGAAAGTACTGAGCAAATATTCGAAGAGCTTAGATCGAGGTGGTTCTGTAGGCTTTGGTTCTTCTTGGGAGTGCTGTTATCTGCTCCGATATATTTTTGGTTCGGACGTAGACAATATCAATGTTGCATGAGCAATTATTGTTTGAAAAGGTAATCTTTTTAGCAAACGTTATAAAGTACGAATGCCCTTTTTTTTCCCCCGCCAGTCAGCATCTATGGCCATTACCGGCACCTCGCATATTAACAATTCTCGCGTTTTCGAGTTGGGTATTTTGGTACCCCGCGCTGTTCGTCACTCGCCCCCTTATAAACTGTTAATTTCCCTCAATTAAAAGAACAACTTTTACACATATTGACAGATTACCGAGGTACTCGATATTCCGTCAGTAACCCGTTCTCACTCATAACAACATACACCCTATACTAATCCTAAACTGACATTTGGCGGGCCGTCATGGTGCTGCGCATGCCGACGACGACCTGCCCTCATTTATACACACCTACACTGTTTGAACATACATTCCATCCTTGCTAATAAGTACATTCACTCCAATAACTACGCTCATCTACTAAACGCATTCACTATGTACAGATAAAAACAACATTCTTACTCACAACATTCACTGCAATATCCTAGCCACTACATACATACGAAATCCAGTTCTGCTAAGGGGGTGGATCAAATTAATTGATTTGCGTTCTCAGATATCTAAATAATTTCTTTATGTGGTAACTATTATGTTCTAGAGTTGCTCGTTGGTCGGAAGGTAGGTCGCACCTTTCTCGGTATACTCTTAAGCTATTGCATTCTTCAAATAGATGTCTTACCGTTACCAGGTCTCCGCACAGAGGGCAACTTTTGCATCTTCTCCCCACCAGGAGATGGCCGTGCGTGAGACGGGTGTGACCTATCATCAACCTTGTTAGTATTGTTTTATCTCGTTTCTTTAAGTTCTCCACGGGCCATGGCCTCACCGTTTCTTTATGCACTTCTAATTTTTCATTCATCTCGTTCCAGCGGGCCTGCCATTCATTGTAGATTAAATTTCTCATTTTTCTTTTCAGATCTTCCGGGCTGATCAGGATAACCGGGTCGTGCGGGCTGGCAGCAGCAATACCCTTTGTTATATTTCTTTTAAAAATTAAGATGATGATTTGATTTTTTCAAACGAAAAAATAAATAATATATTATAATTTAAAAAATACATCGTTCATATCGGCCATTTTTGTAAAAAGACTATACAAAAGTTTTATTTTTCCTTTGTATATAATTTATTTTGACATCTAGAATTTGTGTAAATATGTTGAACTTATAATGAGCTATAAAAAATGATTATTAAAATCCCACGCCGAAAAAGCAGTTGTAAATGGTATTTTCAGCGGTGGCAAAACGATTTTATGAAATATCCTATAAAGCGGAGTGATGTACGAGCAAGTGGTGAGGCATTAATCGGTAAGGACATCGAAAGGCCTAATCACTCAAACAGGAACGGGGGCTTTAGTACTAGTGCTAACGATTTTGTAATTTCCACCCTGGGAAAGTGAAATTAGGCGGGTAAGAAAGTTTGAAATATTATGTAATAACTCGGCAGTTAACCGTGCTCCCCCGGCCCAACCTCTAATGAACACTGTAAAATAACGCGACTCGGTATTGATTTGTGTAATAACCGCGGCTGAAATATATCGTTCTTATAAGAACGATGTTATAACATGGTCTGCGCGGCGCCGCCGCCTCTCAAACCCGAACACTTGCAAAGGCGGAGGTTGACAACTTTAATGGAGTTTTGAAAACTTGCCTCCGAGGGGAGAAGAGAATGGAAATTTACTTTTCACTTTGCAGGACTAAGTGTGCGTGTGAAACATAGTTAACGAACTGCTTCCAAACTAGGATTTAAAAACACTGGCGAAAAAGCGTTTTCTTTAACAAACTAGGAATTTTTTTGTACAACCCCAAGATATTTTTTTCTTTCGCGCTCCATATTCCTCTATTAAGAATAATTTAAGCACCTCAAAACTATTCTCAAAGATTATTCGGAGATCGTGATCTGGAGTCTGGTGGGACGTAGGTTTTAGAAAAATATTTTCTTTATCGTGCCAACGTTTCGATCTTTATAAGATCATCTTCAGGGCCTGGGATTTATAAACATGTGAAAACATGAATTTGTACAATGCTAAAAAATTTTAGATTAAAAAAATGAATTTATACAATACTACAAACTTTTAGATTAAAAAAATGAATTTATACAATGCTAAAAAAATTTAGATTAAAAAAATGATTTTATACAAAACTACAAAATTTTAGATTAAAAAAATGAATATGCAATGCTAAAATATTTTACATAAAAAAAGAATTTATCCAATGCTAGAAAATGTTAGATTTTAAAAAATGAGTTTATACAATGCTAAAAAATTGTAGATTAAAAAGAATGAATTTATACAATACTACAAAATTTTAGATTTAAAAAATGAATTTATATAATGCTAAAAAAGTTTAGAAAAAAAATGAATTTATACAATGTTAGAAAATGTTAGATTTAAAAAAATGAATACACAATGCTAGAAAATTTTACATTAAAAAATGGATTTATATACTCCTATAAAATAGCATTGTATATTATTTTTAATCTAAAATTTTCTAGTATTGTGTAAATTCATTTTTTTAGTCTAAAATTTTCTAGAAAATGTTATATTTAAAAAGTGAGTTTATACAATGCTAAAAAATTGTAGATTAAAAACATGAATTTATACAATACTACAACATTTTAGATTTAAAAAAATGAATTTATACAATGCTAAAAAAGTTTAGAAAAAAATGAATTTATATAATGCTAAAATATTTTAAATAAAAAAAATGAATTTATACAGTTAGAAAATGTTAGATTTAAAAAAATGAATTTGTAGAATGCTAAAAAAAGTATATTAAAAATGTATTTATACACTCCTAAAAAATAGCATTGTATATTATTTTTAATCTAAAATTTTCTAGCATTGTATAAATTCGTTTTTGTCTAAAATTTTCTAGCATCGTTTAAATTTTTTTATACGTAGTTGTATGCTGTATGTTTTTTACGTAAAATACAAAAAAAAAAGTTTTACATATTTTTTATGAAATATTTTGCGTTACAATTTTTTTTTGTTTATAAATTCATAAGACAATAGGTGGTTATTTAATTATTATTAATTACAGTCTTATTTAATCTTAATCTTCAATTATCTATAATTAATTAAATTAATTTTATTAATAGAGAGAGAGAGAGAGAGAGAGAGAGAGAGAGAGAGAGTGAGAGAGAGAGGCACAAAAAAAAGTAAAAAAGGGTTACAGTTGAGACAGAATCTGAGATAGAGAGAAAGACAGAGAAGAGTAGAATAGAGTACCAGAGAGAGCGTAAAAAAGTGAGAGGGAAGGAAAAAGAGAGATAGAGAATAAAAAGAGTGTGAAAAGATCATGGGTGACCGAAAGATAGAAAATTGTATAATTGGCTAGTATAGTGACTCATTAGACTATCACACTAATAAATCCATCAGATCTAACGGGACGTTCGTTGCAATTTATTCAAAGCAAGTAGATTATGCCTTCCCAAAATCTAGAATTCTCTTATCTAGGAGCATTCTTACACGCTTCATATGAAGAGCCAAGGCATGGAAATCTTTCGATTATATTGGACACATTTATAAACTTTTACTTCTTAAAGATAATAATAAAAAATAGTGAAAACTTGTGCTATTAGATAAATTATACTGCCTTGTATGTCGTATGTACTTTACTATATGTTACTTTTATTATTGCCCTGTAACTGAATAGGCCTAATGAAGGCGATTGTTGTCCGTAGTCAATGCTGATATTGAAAAGAACCCTCCACTTTCCCGGGGCGATGTACAGGTGAAATTACACATGTAAATCCCAGTGTACTTTTTGTCCAGGCGAGATTTGCATGGTTGACGTAATTGTATTGGTCTTGTCGGCGAAGTGACGGGCAGACCAATTAGGGGCAGGGGATGGTGCCGCCCCCAGGGCACCCTTTAATCCAGTTAGGACCCACGTCCTCCTCGCACGGCCCGTACCTTCGCCTCGGAATTACTTCTCCTTCAAAGACTAGCCGGCCTCCTGAATAAATAAGGAACGGGTCTTAGCCTTGTATTTCCAACCCCTTTCATCTTTGTCTTTAAAGCGATTTTGACTAATTAAATATAATCTATTATTTGAAAAGGTGGCGTTACCACCTCCGACCAAATACCATCTACAGCAACACCTATACCCAATTGATACTCATCAGTAGATGGGCTGTTCAATATTCGGCCCTCTCACTCTAATTAACCCCATTTCTCTTTACTAAAGATCATCTTCAGGTGCTGGGATTTATAAGCATTGTCTAAATTTTACAAATACATGTAGGATGTGAAAAAATGAATTTATGCCATACTAGAAAATTTTAGAAAAAAAAATTAGAAAAACATTTTCTTTATCGTGCCAACATTTCAATCTTTATTGAGATCATCTTCAAGGCCTGGGATTTACATTGTTTAAATTTAACAAATACATGTAAGATGTGGGAAAAATGAATTTATACAATGCTAGAAATTTTAGATTCAATCAAAGCATTTGTACTCACTCAAAGTGTTTGTTTTCTGAGTACTAACTTTGCTAAAGTTTGTAATTATTTAAATTTAACGATGCCTAATTGTTTGTATTTTTTTCATTTTCAATCATAAGTTTTATGATAATATTTTAAATTTATTAAGAATATTTTATACACATATACATACACCTTTTAAATTTTTTGTTAATTCATAATTCAAGTCATTCAGAACAACATGGAGGGTTAGAAAGAGAAATGGACAGAGTAAGAGAGAGAGGGAGAGAGAGAGAGAGAGAGTGATAGAGAGAATATGCTGCTTTTTTGAAATGTTAAGTCCTCTTATTCCAGTAATTCCAAAGTACTTCATAGGATTGTGGCAGTCATTTTCAACGTTGCTGCTTTCCGTCGCGTCTGGTTATCCGGGCGAAAAGTACTAAATTAAATAAACTCCTGACGTCGTTAAACGTTAAAAAGTCGAGGTTGGATGAGCAGATTTTCTAACCTCCAATTAACTCGGCGCGACAATCTCAGGTTGGAGATGAGCTAAAATTGAAACGATGAATTATCCCTGGAGGAGGGTCCGCGGCAAACAAATTGAAACCAAAGCAATTGGCGAGGGGCGTTAATGAACGTCCTCGGCAGTTGATCATCACTCCCTTCCTACAAAAATTCCCTAATAGCCGATTATGAAATGGTCTTGATTTTTCCGAAGGGGAATGAAAGTCATAAATGATAGAACTCGTCTATCCCCCTTTGGAAAATGACTCAACCAAACCGTAAAATACTTTAAATTTAAAGACATCCAAGGGTCCTCATTTCACAATATTAACAATAACCGATCTATCGAAAGGTACGATATTTGAACATGCAAAACCCCTGAAGAAAAACTTGCGGGATTTATGGATATAATCCATGTAAAAAACATCCCTGTTTAAATGACGCCTCGTTCCGCAAACAGTACCTCTTGCTTGGTTAACCGGAATGTTTCACGAACATTTGTTGGGCCTCCGTGAACCGGCATAAGAACAGTTTAATGTAAATTGCTCCAGAAAGGTTTTGATTATACTCAGTGGGACAAAAAGGGCTCCATTTTCTTCTGGGGTCGGGCGAGATTATATTTTATTTATTATATTTTTAAAGCCAGTGGCAAAACGAACTACTCACACAAAGAAAGGTTGTGTCAGTTTGGTTCCTGCCTTACAGGAGGGCGTTCAACTACTCGTGTTTCGCGAACGAGAGGTCAAACCAGATTAGAATACTTTCTCCATAATATTCACAATAAAAAATCCATGGACTCTACCGGGATTCGAACACGGAACCACTAACGTGGCAAATAAAGCTCGGACGACGTACACCATACATCTCTCATATTCTCCTATTCATCTTAATTTTCTCTCATATTTTATTTCTGCTTTTCTTAGTTCATTCTCATATCGTTATTATTTATATCGTTCCTTCTTTTTTGTATCTATATTTTTCTATTTATTTTTTATCACTACCCCGTTTTAAATCTTTCTCTCGCCGTATTTTACTGTTTTACTGTTACTTAGAATTACCCATCTAGCTAATTCTCT